AAAAAAAAAAAAAAACGGAGGGTTTTGTATAGCTATGCTACTTTTTTGTGCTTTTTTCTTTATCAATTCAGATATTGTTTGATGAAATGTGTTCTGTTTATTGGATTCATAATTTGACTTGACAATTCATTTTTTATTAGTTTGCATGATTGTTTTGGATAAGTCAATTTTGTTAACGAATTGATAGTTAAATAGCCTAGAAGGGAAATTGTACATTTTGTTTTGAATTGAATCACAATGACCATTATCCAACCGTGGCATGCATGTTCTATTTTCATACATAATTCAATAATGTATTATGTTGGGATGAATGGCATGTGTATATATATGGAATCATCGTAGACATGTGTCATGCATTCAATGTGGTGCAACACGAAATGAAATATAAAATTGGAACATGAATCTTATGTGTCATGTTTCAGTTTTGTATTCTAATTCGTGTTTCACTACATTGAATGCATGACACGTGTCTATGAGATTCCTTCTTTGAAGGCAAAAAATCCTCTCGAGGAGAGATGAAATTCCTTCTTTGAAGGTCAGTCTTTCTGTCTTTCTTTCTTTCGGTTCTCTGGGAATTTTATAAGGTTTTAGCTGTTCCTTTTTGGGGGGGTTTGCGGGGATGGGGCGATATGGGGGGGAGGGGACTCTTCAAACAGGAGTAAAGAGTGATTTTGTGGATGAAGTAGCCAGGAAGTTTAAAAAATTCTCATTATCTGTCAAAGAAGCAGGGGAAAATCGAGCTTAACAAGGAGGATATCAAATTTAGTGAAAAAGATTGTGCCAGAAGTCTATTTGGTAAAGTTGTCGGAGACTATAAGGTAGGTTTACTGGGCATTAAGAGAACAATGGGGTCAGTCTGGAAAATTCAACAAGATTTGGAGATAAAGGAAATCGAACCCAATTTCCTCAAGTTTATTTTCAGCAACAAAGAAGATAAGAAGAAAGTGACAGTTGGACACAACTGGTTATTTGAAAACCAGTCCCTAATCCTTTCATGATTAGGTGGAGGGGCTACATAGTAAGCATAAGTGTTTTGAGGAGATTAATATGTGGGTTCAAGCTTTTAATACCCCTCTCAACTGGGTTCAAGCTTTTAATACCCCTCTCAACTGGATGTGTACTCTTGTTGGGTTAAAGCTGGGGAAAAGCTTCAATGGAGTTTTGTAAAACAGAGGGTGAGCTAGGTAGTTTGATCAGATTGTTGGTTTGATCAGATTTCGTGTTTCACTACATTCAATGCATGGCACGTGTCTATGAGATTTCTTCTTTGAAGGAAAAAATCCTCTCGAGGAGAGATGAAATTTCTTCTTTGAAGGCCAGTCTTTCTGTCTATCTTTCATTCGTGTTGTTTGGTCGAGTTGGTTGTTCCTTTTCTCTAGGAATTTTCTAGGGTTTTAGTTGTTCCTTTTTGGGGGGTTTGCAGGGATATGGTGATATGGGGAGGGGGGGGGCTCTTCAAACAGGAGTAAAGAGTGTGATTTTGAGGATGAAGTAGCCAAGAAGCTTAAAAAATTCTCATTATCTGTTAAAGAAGCAGGGGAAATCGAGCTTAACAAGGCGTATATCAAATTTAGTGAAAAAGAATGTGCCAGAAGTCTATTTGGTAAACTTGTCGGAGACCGTAAGGTAGGTTTACTGGGCATTAAGAGAACAATGGGGTCAGTCTGGAAAATTCAACAAGCTCTGGAGGTTAAGGAAATCGAACCCAATTTCCTCCAGTTTATTTTCAGCAACAAAGAAGATAAGAAGAAAGTGGCAGCTGGACACAACTGGTTATTTGAAAACCAGTCATTAATCCTCATGATTGGGTGGAGGGACTGCATAGTAAGCATCAGTGTTTTGAGGAGATTAATCTGTGGGTTCAAGCTTTTAATACCCCTCTCAACTAGATGTGTACTCATGTTTGGTTAAAGCTGGGAAAAGCTTCAGTGGAGTTTTGTAAAACAGAGGGTGAGTTGTGTAGTTTATCGGATTATTGGTTTCTGTCAACCTTAGGGAGGCCCTCCCAAAGATGCACTCATATCAAGTTAGGAACACAAGAAAGTGATGGTTACCTTTAGATTTGAAAAACTGGTGAGTCTTTCTCATTACTGTGGAAAGATAGGTCACTTAGATAGGAATTGTGACTTGAGGGTGAGTGATATTGAAATGGATAAAGTGCAAGAAGGGCAGTATGTAGAGTTGCTTAAAGCATGCGAACCATCTCTAAACGGAAAGAATAGCCAGACAAGTGGTTCAAGGAACAATGTGGAGATCGGCCAAAAAGCTTCAAAGCTCAATTCTAACAATTCAACTACTAATCCTAAACAACAAAGACAAAATTCAGAGGATGTGGTAACCCTTACTGAAGGATCGCTAACTATTCATATTGAGAAGCAAACATGCATAAGGAGTAAGGGGGCTCTTTTGGACCAACTAAGTTAGTCGATGTGTGGTTTTAGTAACAAAGCCCATGAAAAACCGTTGATGATCCAACAGAAAGAGCTTGAGCTATGCACCTCTGATCTCTGAGGGACACAAACCAAAAGAAGAGAATAGATTATCCTTTGGTCTAGTCTAGACTGTCAAACCCAAAGCCCGAAAAAAGAACTAATTTGCTGAAGGCAGACTTCTGAGGTCATCAGGGGGGATTGGTATATCCCAAGAGAACCACCATGAAGAAAGGTAGAGAAGAATCTGATATCAAAGGGGTGTTGAAGTCCAGTGACACAGTAGGAGTAAGAAAAGAAAAAAAAAAAAAGAAGAAGCTAAAACAGAAGAGATGCAGCAGGTGGAGAAGGCCAACCTAAAGCTGTAGAGGACTGGATGGGCCCTCTACAGTTTTCCAAGTCAATGATTTATGAAGACTCGGATGTCCAGTCAACTTTGTTCAGCATGGTTCCAGACACGGCTCCTGGGAAGGACGGTATCACTGCTCTTTTTTTTTTTTTACATTTTTGGCCTATTGTGGAGACAGACTTGTGTTGTGCTGTAAAAAGATTCTTCCATTTTGGTCGACTCTTGAAATCTTGGAATCACACTGTTATTACTCTGGTGCCAAAGTGTTTGAACCCTTCTTCCCTGAGTCATTTTAGACATGTTAGTCTTTGTGGTGTTGTGTACAAGATCATTGCAAAAATCTTAGCCCTAAGACTCAAAGTTTGCCTAGATGATTGTTTAGCTTGTCCCAAACTGCATTTTTTCCAGGAAGGCGGCTTATGGATAATGTTATTATTGCCCAAGAGGTTTTTCATTTTCTAAATGGACATAGGCCAGATCCAAATGTTTTTATGGCCATTAAATTGGACAGGAGAAGGCTTATGATTGGATTGAGTGGGACAACATTAGGAATGCAATGTTTAAAATGGGGTTTCACACTACCTTCATTAAGTGGATATGGGCTTGTACTTCCTCCTCATCCTTTTCCTTTAACTTGAATGAGAAAGTGAGTGGATTTGTTACCCCATCCAGAGGTAGTATGTAAGGTGATCTGTTGTCACCCTATCAATTTATCTTGGTCTCTCAGGTGTTTTCTTCTCTTATTTCTCACAAAATCAGGGTTTGAGATTCCAATGGTATCGAATTATCTAAACATGGACTTAACATACCTCATCTTCTATTCGCTAACGACTCTTTGGTTTTTTGTAAAGCTGATGATGCTCATGCCATAACTCTGCTTGAAATTATGAATAAATATCATCTCTTTGTTGCTCAGAAAGTGAATATGGCTAAATCTTCTATATTTCTCAGTAAGAATGTCACTGATTCTCTAAAAACCAAACTTTGTAATATTTTGGATGGAATTGGTGTCCACAGATCCATCTTGGCGTTCCTTTGGGAATTAGGGTATCAAAAAGAGATTCTTTCTCTTTTGTGTTTGATGCAGACAGAAACAAGATATCTTGCTGGAATATAAATTTCTTTCCACTGCAAGGAAAGATGTTTTGGTGAAATATGTTCTCAACTCTCCATGTATTTGTAATGTCTTGTTTTATCTTACCTTTGGGTATTTTCATAGATGTGAACATGTTGTTTGCTGATTTCTGATGGTGTAAAAGGGATGACCTTGAGCAGGGTTTACTCTAGAGAGCTCGGAATAAATTAACACTGCCAAAGAATGATGGAGGTCTGGGATTTCAGGACATCCATATATTTAACATTGCTCTGGTGATCAAGCATCTTTGGAGAGTTTTGACTCAGCCAGAGCTTCTGGTTAGCAAGGTTCGTAAGCAAAGGTACTTTGATTCCTCATCCTTGCTCGACTGTAAGAAAAAGACCAATGCATTTTGGCTATGGAGTTCCTGGATTTGTTTGATTTCATTGCTGAGAAGTGGGGTTGAAATTGTGGTCTAGAATGGTAAAAACACAAAATTTCTGATTATAACTAGGTTCCTAATCTGCAAAGGGGAAAACCTGCCTTTAGATAAGTTGTTTGGGATAATCTGATTTGGGTTGAGGATCTTCTGTGTGATGGTTGATGTAGATTGAACACTGAACTAACCTTAGCAAATTTCCAGACAGAAGATGCTACTAAATTCTAAAAATTAAAACTATGAATCTCAATATGCCTGAAAAGTGGAAGTGTAACTTTTATGTTAAAGGTAACTTCTCAATAACTGCATTGTATTCTAAACTAGTAACTGAAAAGTGTTGTTCTATTGATGAGGTTGAAAGTAGCAGGTATGCTATGACAAACAAAAGTGCAAGGATTAGACGTTGGAAGCTAAGAGTAAAGGAAAAAATCAAGCACTTCATCTATAACTCCATAAAGAAGACAAACGAACTCCATAAAGAAGACTAAAAGCCATACACAGTTGGACTGAAAAAATTAAAAGAAAACCAAAAGCAACTACGACATACACCTTAACGATACAACAAAGCCCTCTTCACAGCAAATAAGTTACTCCAAAATTTCTCCTTGAAGGTGACACCCGAAGAAGACACCGAAGAAGGCAAGACCACGACACTCGACACAGATCTAAATCAAATTCCACTTAAGGGTAAGGCTAACTAGAACCGAACCGACCAACTGAAGCCCCCTTCTAACGACATCACCACTAGACAATATAAGTGAAGAAATCCATTCGTGTTATAACCCGCTATATATAATTCCCGAATGTGTTGAGCCTAAGTGGCAGACTCGCACGCTTCGGGATCTTATTTGACAAAATTTTATGATTGTTATTTGACTTGGATAACTTTTAATTTAGTTCCACTCCATAAATAATTAGGATTGAAATTATTCAAAAATATATTAAATATTTATGGTAATTTTATGAGCATTAATTGTGTTTGAAAATAAATTCCTATTTAGGACGTGGTTTACAAGGAATTATTTTTTTGCTTTAATATTTCTTATTCTCACAATCTTTTTTTAGTTATAATACACTTTACTGACTTTAATTGTAAATAGATTTTTTTTTTTTGTAAAACGATAGAGAATATTATATAACAAAACGCACAAATGTGCGGATTATACAACCCCTAGTTGATTAATACGACCAAAAGCTGAATACATTTAGAGGACAGGTTTGACGACCGCTTAAAATCCCGATACTAGCAACGCCTAGAAACCGAAAACAAGACTTACGGCACTACAGACACAACAAAAACTAAGAAACTATAAAGCTCCCAATAGGAGAATAGAGAAAGGAATTGATCCCAATAGGATAATGTCTGCTCCAACTCTGGCTCACAAAAACCAACGACCCAAACAAAAAACACAAGACCTAACAACACAAAACAAACAAACAACGCTCCTAAAACAAAACAAAACTGAAACTAAAGCTCTCCCTTCCCTGGCAGATCAACTAGGCCGAATCAGCAGAGAAACAGTCAACTCCAAAAAGATCCACAGCCCGATGGACCGCTTCAGAAACTGCGAACCGCATATACAGAATCTGAACTCGAACCTCCAACCAATACCAATTATATCGACCCGCCCAACCAGAGGAACCACGAACCGACTCCCCCCAGCACTACCCACACTTGCCTAACCCTACTAATCGAACAGTGAAGCGCCGACATTCCCTTCGTCCCTAGCACCAGAAGACCGAGAAGGTGAGAGCAGCTTGGTCCCGCAGCCCCGACCACCTCGATGCTGGACGTCGCAGCACCGGAGCCTCGCCCCACTCCCAGATCCACACCCCGCCCAACGCCACCTCAGTATCGAGAAGCCGACGACCATAACCAAGAAGCTCTAGCCGGGAAAGGCGAAACCGACCATGGGGTGACCTCGGCCATCCGTCCACCAAACAAAGTATCACGGAAGGGACGCAAATCAGAGATGGGCCGAGCGGTTACGGACGAACACTTGCCGGAGATGGGAAATCGACAGAGAAGAAGAGAGGCGCTGGTGAATTTGAGAATTAGGATATTTCGAAACACAAATCGTAACTATATTTTAAAAGTTTTTTAATTATTATAAAGTTTTCATATATAATTTATCAAATCAATCATCTCATCATTAGTTTCGATTTGCCATCTATGTTATGTGATAAGGTAAAATAATTATATCAATATTTACAGATAAAAATTTAATCATCTATTAATTTTAGTTTCAAAAATATAATTATTTATAAAATAAATAAATATAACTACTAGATAGTTATATGACATAAGTTGAGAAAATATTATACTATAAAATGATTAGGTAGTATATTTGATAGTGTCATTTTAAATATAAATACTTTTTAACAGACACTCGTGTCATATACGAGATCGTACTAGTTTTACTTTATTACAAAGCCAGAGGACCAATTTGCAATTAATTGAACATATCGCCGACCCTGTCTGCAAAATCTTCTCCCTTTCTACACTCCTTCACCGCCTACGGTAACCCTTTAGATTGTCCAGTCGCCGCCATGGCAGCTTCCGGTAGAGACCGAATCAAGGAAGATACAGTTCGCAAAGCAGTGACTGCCCTCCTCAAATGGAAGAAGAAGAAGAAATTTATCTCAAAATCCGACCTTGAGAAGCGCCACCACGAAGAAGAAGAACATCATGAAGACGAAAGCGACGATTTCGTATACCTCTCAGTAACCCTAAAAAAAGCCCCACCAAAAACCCATACGCTCGCGCCCCACCGCATCCCCCTCCGCCACTCGCTTCTCCCCGTAGATTACTCCGCCTTGAACCTCTGCCTCATCGTTGACGGCAAAACAATCACATCCGAATCGGCGCAGAAGATTCTGGCAGCTCGAGGCATTCCATTCATCAGGCGTGTTTTCAAGCTCTCGAAGCTCAAATCCGACTACAAGTCCTTCGAGTCGAAGCAGAAGCTGTACAACTCGTTCGATGTGTTTATGGCGGACAAACGCATCGTCTCCTTGCTTCCTAAGGTGATGGGCAAGGTTTTCTACAAGAAGAAGAGGAAAATCCCGGTGCCGCTTGAGTTGAACGCTGATGGCAGCAACTGGAAGGAGGAGATGGAGAAGGCGTATAATTCGAGCTTGCTGTGTTTGAGCAGCGGGACTTGTAGTGCGGTGCGAGTGGGGAAATGGGGTGTTAATGAAGGTGATGAGATTGTGGAGAATGTGTTTGAGGCTGTTGATGGTGTGATTAAGGTTGTGCCGAGAAAATGGAGTGGGATTATGTGCTTTCACTTGAAGTTTTCGGATTCCATAGCATTGCCTATATATGAGAGAAAAATTGTTTCGCAGTAAACTCTGAATTGGTGGAGAAAATTGGCCGACATTTATACGGTTTATGCAGTCTTTTGGTCGAGCAATTCAAGTGCAGTGACAAAGATGAACAATCATCAAGTGGGGTTGATATTCGGTGGCACGCAGTTTTGGTATTTGCATCTTTCTTTCTTTCTTTTTTTTGGGGTTAATGTTTGCTTATGTTCCTGTTACAGCTATGTGAGGTGTGATTTGCTCTAGTAGTTTAGGTTATCAGCTTCATGGAGGATAATTACTATTTGCTATCATGACATTTTTGTCAAATCTGAAATCTAGGACTTGTGTGGTTTTGTTCGCCATTGTCTTCTCTCTTTTTTACAGAATTTGATATGAGTTCTTAGCAGATTGGAAAATCGATAGCTGCAGTGTGAATGTGGCTATCCTTCTTATGGAGCTTCAACTGTTTCATTTTTTCTTAGTGTATGATAAAACGTCAGGCACAGGAAATCCGAGGTTTGGGGAAACGTTGGCAAGGAAGGTCGCCAAAGGTTTAAAGTTTTACAATATAAGATCCTTGATGTTTGATTCCTTACTTCTATCATACTCATCTTGCACTTTCTCTCGCATTTGAAATTCCCTTTTGGAAAATGTAACCTTTAGGCTAATTAGCCATTGTTTTAGAGACCGACTAAAGCCAAGGTTTCTTTGGAAACTTATTTGGGATATATTAGTAATTGCACATTACTCGGAACCTAGAGCAGTTTTTGTCATTGATCCCTACACCTGAATCTGATGAACAAGTTTCTTGCCTCGAAAAAGCATAATTAATATGATTGTGAAATGTTACCTATTTGGCAATAGTATTTACTTGACAATGTTGCGTAAAGCTGGCAGATGCAAGCTGATGTCATGTTTCATGTCTACAGATGCAGAGAAAGAGAGCCACCTTGTGTTATAAACTGCTCTCAAGTCCTGTTTGGTTTAATTACTTAAAAAAGAATGTTCTCATGGTCATTTCCATTTGGGCCTAATTACCTAACCATCTACTAATGGAGTCATAAAAATTTACTAACCGTTAATTGTAAGGAATGATACAAATGTGGTTCTTTTACTTTCTACGCTATGAGTTCCCTTTTTCCCTCTAAGCTAATTGGTTGTCGCATAATGAAGGTTTCAATTTCAAAGTTTCGACCTTGATCAGCTCTTTTTAAAAAAGGCTTCGCAGACTCCAGAGATAGCTAAAAGATCATCGCAGGTTACAATTACGTTTGATTTCATGTTTATGTCCATCTTTTCCCCTTGCAGCACTTTCTTTGCTATTTTCACCATGCTTCTTATGTTTGCCATACGATTGAAATCTTTGTTCTTTTTAATGTTATGTCAACTAACGCCTGTTGGATTTCAACTTTTAATTGGACAAAATATATTTGGCGAATTTTCATCTTTACCATGTGATTTGGAAATAATTGCAAGTGAATGAAATGGGCAAATCTTAATTGCATCTTTGCAAATTACATGACATTTAATTGTAAAGATGTAAGATATCAGTTACCAAAACAAATGCAACTCCCTTAAATTGCTCTGGTTATGGGATTTTCGATTTAACATAACAAAATTATTATATGGTCAAGTTATATATCCTACAAAGTAGGATGTTTCAATATGAAATAGAAAGAGAGAGAATTTGAATTTCAAAACTACATCATCTTCCAAAATACAAACTACACGATCGTGAATACTAGTCTATGTTGATGAACAAACGTTTAAAAATATACGAAATCAAACAGGTATTTTTTGTTTATTGCATATATACTGAACATAAAACCTACAAAATATACAGTTGAAAAGACAAAACATGTTGTGAACTTATACATAACATATCATATATTGGATATAAACATACATTTTGTAAAGGGAGAAAACCAGTCTGTTGTGATACATACCTTTGTTTTTTATGAATATATACTTGGCATATACTGAACATAAAACATACAATTGAAAAACAAAACATGTTGTGAACTTATGCATAACATATCTTGAACTTATATACATATACATATCATATACTGAGACGCGAACACGATCTCCTGTGAGGAGAATTTCGGCGTCGCTGTAAGGACTTCGTCTGATGTTAATTTTTGCCCATGGTTTGTGTTGCTTGAAGGTTAGGGTTTGCAGTTACGGGGAAATGTATTGACTTAATGAGTGGTTAATGAGTTATGAGAGAGATTTTCTTACTACAAAAATAGGGATTTTGTTTTTAGAAACATATACATTTCCCCTTAAATTAGTCAATTAATGTTTAAATTAGTCAATAACTAATACAATAATTTTTCTAGTATATGTGCAAATGTAAACAAGATTTTCAGTCATATTGCTAATATTTACAAAACTGTTTAATTGTGTAATAAAAAGCGAAATGTCTAGTGCATGGCGTAATTTTATCAATATATTTCCACAATCACTAATCGTCAAGTTACGTTAACTCATTCAGACATCTGCGCATTAACTCATTTAGGCATTGGTCCACAAAGATGGCTTGGTCCGCAATTGTCTTAAAACCTCCTCAGACCACAGTTTACTTATTCTATCAGATGATGGGCTGAGTAGTAAAGAAAGGAAACCTAGGTTTCAGTTTGATAGTAGATGGGTGTCTAAAGAAGGTGTGGAGGAGGTAGTTACAACCACTTGGTCTTCTCAAGGTTCTGGGACTCCCATGTTCAATATCAAAGAGAAAATCAAGAAGACTAGAGTTGTCCTACTGAAGTGGAGCCAAGCTTTCAAATTTGAGAATTCTAAGAATGTGGAACAGCTGACAATTGGGTTAGACAATTGGGTTAGAGGAAATTAGAGCTAAAGGGGGTGAAAGAAATTGGGACTGTTGGGACAAGATGAAAAGGGAGTGGAAGAAGCTCAATGTTCTGAGGAAAAATTCTAGAGGCAAAAGTCTAGGGACCAGTGGTTGATGAATGGGGACAGAAATACAAAGGTCTTTCATGCATTGCAATGCAAAGAAGGAAATCAAATGCAATAAACAGACTTGTGGTAGAAGGTGAAAGAGTTTGTGAGCCCAAGCAGGATATTGAGAACGCCATTTGTCAGTATTACTCTGAGCTATTCTCCTATAATGGAAGTCAAGATGAAGAGCACATTCTACAACTTATCCCCTGTTCCATCTCTACTAGTCTTAACCAAGAGCGGCTGATGTTGATGAGGAGAAGATTCAGAATGCTCTGTTTAGCTTAAACCCTAGGAAAACTCCTGGTGAGAATGGTATGTGATATAGCCACGACTAGTCTGTCGGCTCGACCGGTAGTATCTGATATAACATGTCATACCCGACCGGGTTTTATGGATATATATTGAAGAATACACTTGTACATGGACTAAGACACTTGATATGATAATATGGGTCAAGCCCAACCTAGGCCAAACCCAACTTGGACTATAAGGTACACTCCCCCTATAAAAAGGGGGAGAAGGTACTCATTTGAGGGATTCTCTACACATTTCTACACACTTTCTCCCTACACTCTCTCTATCTCTCTCTATGCATTCTCATATGAATCAAGTACTGACTTAAGCATCAGAGGCCTAAAGCCGGGAACCCCTCCCGGAGTCCCCGACTTTGGGTTCTTGGTTTTTATGGATATATATTGAAGAATACGCTTGTACATGGTCTAAGACACTTGATATGATAATATGGGCCAAGCCCAACCTAGGCCAAGCCCAACTTGGACTATAAGGTACACTCCCCCTATAAAAAGGGGGAGAAGGTACTCATTTGAGGGATTCTCTACACATTTCTACACACTTTCTCCCTACACTCTCTCTATCTCTCTCTATGCATTCTCATATGAATCAAGTACTGACTTAAGTATCAGAGGCCTAAAGCCGGGCACCCCTCCCGAGGTCCCCGACTTTGGGTTCTTGCAGGTACGGTGGCCGTCCAAGTCGAGGGAACCCGGGTGACATCTTTGTCCTATCAGTATGTCCCCTCTCTTTTCTCAACATTTTTTGCTTATTGTGAAAGATAATATGTGTGAAGCAATCTCTTCTTTCTTTATTTTAAAAAAACTGCTTAAAAGTTAGAACCATACCATTATCTGTCTGATTTCTGCTTAGATTATATGGAGGGTCGATCGAGCAACCCTTAGTCTGGACAGGTGACGAGATTAAGGGAGGGATATGAAGGGTCAGTTGGGATGCCCTTCCATTTGGGTAGAGTAACGATTTAGAAAGGGATATGTAAGGGTTTGTGTGAACGACAGCGTGAACCATTTTAGGATTCAGTTGCATGATAAGCCCTCCTCCTAGCAGCCACCACCTTCGTCAGCAGCCCTCGCGACTAGTCATTCGCAACTTTCAGTCACTCGGTCCCCATTCGTCTAAGCCAGTTCAACCCCCGTCATTCGACACTTTCGTGCGTCGACACCAAACATCGCACTAGTTCCAACGTTGAAAAATTCTGCCCGAGATCGACTCTTTCGTGTAGACCAAGTACTCACGAATGTGCACGCAGGCCACCACGCGTAACCAGGGAACTCGACGAAACTTTTCATCTGCTAGTCGTGTGCATCATGATTGCAATAGGCTCCTTTGACAAGAGTCGCTTATGCCGCCCCTTAGTCGATGATCCACAGTTATCCCCAATCGACAATTTAACCTATCAAAGATGGAAGGCTCGACTTTAACATACCAAGAGAGGCGGTACGACGACGGATCAAAGAGTCAACCAATCACCTTTATTGTCAGAACATGGGAGCCGATCTAAATTCCCCTGACGATACAATGGGAGGGCCGATCTAAAATCCCCATAACGTTTCAATGTGAGTTTGACCCTTCGGGTGTTAAACATGGGGGCAGACCTATAATTCCCTGACAATGCAATGCACGGCAGATCTAAATTCTCTTAACGATGCAACGCGGGTCGATCTTAATCCTCATGAGAATGAAATTTCACCCTCTGTTGTCGGTACCTGGGGCCAATTTGAATTCTACTGAAGATGTAACATGAGCGCTTCCCTTCGTGCTCATAACAAAATAAGTACGAAGGTGACCGTGAAGCAAACAAACCTTACAACAATGTTGATCATGCAGAAATTCTCAAAACACAAATTGGCGACGTCAAATCCAACTCTCGTACGACTTCAAGACATTGACGCCAAAAAAGGAGTGCACTTTCGCAAAGGAAAAAGTCCTACACATCAGCAAACTCGTTAGACGCCTTTATCTTTCCGTGATGTTAATAAGTGGCCCCTCAGATAATTTCTATACCGTCCACTATTTTGTTCAAGGGGTCAACCTCAACATATTTTGTCACCAACCCCATATTAAAACAATGCTGCTACCTCTCTATGCTAACATCTCGTCCACTGATACATGAAAAATAACAAAAACAACCCAAAGATTTGATGAATACCAACTCACTTCATCAGGGCAGCAACAAACTACACAAATAAATCAGCCCCTCTGAAGATTACTTACGACCCCGCAAAAATCACGAATATAATAAACCATCAACGAAGCTAGATTTTCATAGGAGCATGGGGCCGAAGCCATCAACGCATGTGGCTGAAGCCACAATCCTTGTCACATATCAATACGCTAACACACCATTTGCAAAATCTTAAACATCTCTCTTGTGACGATCAGAATGGCTACAACGACTTTCACGAACCAACGAACATAATGCTAAAGATGGCGAATAATTCTCTCCACTTCTTGCATTTCGCGCAATCAAACATCAAGCATCCGCCGCCCTTAAGGAGATCCCTCAGATTCCCTAAAAGCAAAGTCGTCGCTCTCTCTCTAAAAAAAAAAATCTCACGGTGAGTATCGCCGACTAAAGGCCAAGCCGTTCAAAATCCCACTCGCGGTCGCGCAGATCTCAGGCCACAAACCAACTCACAAGGAAAAGGTTGAAACATACACATTCATACGAACATCCACCATTGACATACACAAGGGAATATCATAAAGAAAGAAGAAAAATACTCGAGCGCCATATGTGGCTATCCTCGGGACTCTTCGTCGTTTTTTTTTTTTTCTTCCAATAACAAAAACCACTAAAAATCTCAACATGCCCCTCCCAATATTTTGTACTAACTCATACAACGATAACAACATGAGAGCCAGTGACGGAGGAATGTAAACACGAGTTCCATCTCATAAGACAGTAACGCAAATTTTGACAAAAAAAAAAGGTAATAAATAGTTAGGGTTCACCCTAACAAGAGTTTAACAACAGTGGACCATTGAGAGAACACAAGTACAATACAAACAACAATACAACACCGTTTGAGGTTTGGAGACTGGCTTTTAGTTTTACAAAAGGGAATACAAATACAAGGCAGCAAACAGGAAAAGTTGGAAAAGGGTATTGAATAATCAGGACACAACATAAATAACCTGTTCAGTACTCAGGGGAAATTATGGGCCGAGAAAGGGGCACTGCTTCCTTGCATGCTCCGGAATCAATTTCGTCAACGTCTCCACAGGAACACCCTTCAACTCTGAAAACAAAAATGCAATATAATATTAACGATCTACAAATAAAAATAAAAACTAAAAATGGGTCAAAAGTAGAAAATTTGTACCATGAGGCTTGAAGTTGAATAATGGAGGAAGGAAACGGCCATTGGGAAGATGAGTGCTCGGGTCACGAAGCTCGTCAAAGAAGGGGTGGGTAAGGGCATCCAACTGTAGCAAGTTTCGTTGATTAAAACAACACAATAGGTTTGATGCCGGTAAAACCACCAATATACCTTTAGTGCATGCTTGTATATAGATAAATCCAAAAAAAATTCAATCCCAACTCAAATCTAACTCAACTCAACTCACTGCACTCAATATTATCAATATAATTATATAATGCCAATCAATTACACATTGCATCAACCTTAATTCATTATTCCTCTTCACATAATTTTAACTGTCCATCACTTGCAATCACTTCTCTCATACATTTACACCAAACCAACATTAATTATTTTATTTTAAATATTATTTTAATACAAACTCAAAATCTCAATGAAACCTAATTAAACCAACTTTTTCAAAACTTAACTCTAGTTAACAAAAAAAAAATCAATCAAAAGTCAATATACATTACTAACTAACTACCCGTTCATTTTAAAATGGAGAAGTTCAAAAAATAACTATGAATGGCATTGTTACCTTTTACTCTAAAACAGATTCTTCCCTTATAAAACATATATAATTATGAAATTTCTGTTCCCATATGTTAAAAAGATCATCGGTACTAGCAACATACATGATATGTTTAGAGAAGAAAACGAACCAATCAATCCACACTACTCCTATAAGCCTAATGTAAATTGCTATATCAAATATTTGTGAATGGCAAAAGACCTCGCCACATCTCAATAGAAAGTTTACGAAAAGCAAAGATCCTCACAGCTGAGCAACGAAGATTAGGAGAGTACTGCAGCAGCCTCGAAACAAGATCAACAGCTTCTGGAGGCATGCGCTTATGGAATATCTGGAGTCGATTGAATAAAACCATGGTGAAAAAAGGAAGCAAACGCCCAACAGAAATGACTGCAAACAAACTCATCAACAATTACCTTGTGCCATGGATGGGCTTTAATTTGTGGGAATTTGAACTCAGTATAATTGGGGTTCATGCATTTGATTTCCTCCCTCGTCGGAGTACCCAAAACCTGAAACATCAATTTACAGACAAAATTGTCATTCGATACAACTGTAGGACAGCTCTAACGTAACTCTGAATACCTTCCCCTCCTTTTCTTCAATATTTCTCAGCAACTCATATTAAAGAAAGAAACAAGATAAAAATCTAAACGACTAAAAAACAGCCGCGGATGCACATTGTGGTTGGGGAGGGGGGGGGGGGGCTATTGTCCCCCCAAACTTTTGGTTATTTAATATGTATATATATATATATGCATATTGTAAGTATATTACTAATTTGTATTCTTTAATCTTTACTATATAAATATATATTATAAGCATGTTCAATTTATACCTACATTTTATAATTATTACTAATTATTGTACTACTCTGTCTATTAATCATTTTTAAGTACATTACATTTTTGTTAGTAAATTTTCACTCTCCATCTATAATATTTATTTTTTTTTTTTGTTAATAAAGGATTTAATAAAATTGAATGTATGAGATAAGTGACATCTTAAAATAAAAAATTGAAATAGCAGAGCATGCAAGATATGCAATTTTACGGGATCGAAAAGTAATCGCAGCAACAATTAACAATGAATCAACTGTTAATGAGTCTCGTGATATGAAATAATATCAAACACAATTTTTTAATATCAAAGTACATTTTTATTATTTATTTTATCTATTTAATATAAAATGAAATTGTATGCATGTGTGTGTGTGTGTGTTATTTATAAAAATTATATGTCATCTTTAAAGGTGTTATTCAAGTAGAATCAAACTAAAATATCTCATGTGCAAGCCCGTCTTCGATTAAAAAAATGAGTTAGCACCGCTTGACTCATTTAATAAACAAGTAAGACACAACTCAGTTAATACACAAATTCGATTTTCTGTCTAAGATTAGTTCATTTAAGTAAAAGAAAAGGTTAAGCTCGAGTTTGTGTTAGTCAGACCGAGTTCGCAGACAGTTTTTTTCGATTAACAACTCTAGTCCCCCCCAAAATTTTTTTCTAGATCCGCCCCTGCTAAAAAACAACCAGAAAAAGCCTCTTCTTCAACAAATGGTAATGGTACTAAGAGCTTAAAGAAGTCAAAATAGAAACAAAAACACAGAGAGAGAGAGAGGGGGAGAAAGTGCCTTGATGATCTCGACAAGCTGGTCTACACCACTCTCACCAGGAAATAGAGGCTGAAAAAAAAAAAAGCAAAAGCGAAGAAAGTTAATTATCTAGAGGCATTAAGTGGAAAAGGACAGAACCCACATACATGTTGATACACAGGTCGTATATACCTGTCCAAGAAGCAGCTCAGCAAGCACGCAACCAGCAGACCATATGTCGATAGCAGTAGTGTACTCAGTCGCTCCAAAAATAAGTTCTGGTGCTCTATAATACCTAGAGCAGATATAAGAGATGTTGGGCTCTCCTTTAACCTGCCAAAGAAAATTGATCTTAAAAGTCAACACCCACTTGATTCCAACAGAAGTTTTGTGATTGATTCTGCATACCAAAACTTTAGCGCTTCCAAAATCGCATAATTTGACCTGGTGGGTATGAGGATTCACCTGCATAATGTTAGAGATCAATTGTTATTTCATTTATTCCAATAATTCGGCTTTTGGGACGATTTGTTTAGAATATCCAGTAGGTTATAATTTGGGTTAGGATTAGGACACTATTAAAGTATACTAGCATTAGATACTTGGGGTTATCTTTTGTTGAATAGAATTGTCGGCTTTAAGTTCTTCCTTAGGCAGGACGTGATTCGTCTCGAGTTATTTTCTTAAATATTGATTATCTATTATTTTCGTTTGCTTTTCACCCTTACTTTATCACATAATGTCATCACTTTATAGACTTGAAGAATTTTTTGAGAATATAGTTGAAAAGGGAACATGACAAGAAATTTTCAATTCTCATTCACACGTGTATCATCCAATTTATCAAACAGCAGAAAGAATAAAGAGGACGAATCCTCCAACTCGATCAAATGAATGTTGATGACAGCAATATACAAAATTCAGACAACATTGCAAGATAAAAGACACAAACGAGGCAATTTGAGATAAGCAATGAAAACACCAACATACCAATAGATTTTGAGGCTTTATGTCCCTGTGGCATACTCGAATAACTCCGTGAATGTAAGACAATGCTCTGAAAATCTGCCAAATAACAACATAATCAACTCCACAATGAGTACCGCCATACAAGTCATATCGACTCATTAACATTATCATGTGATAAGTGAAAGCACTTTAAAAACAGAACCCAACAATCAAAGAATAAGTATTAGATAAAAACTCCACATGAATTTGATAGGCGCAAAAGATAACAGTAACACTGTAACTTGGCAGCCTGCAACATTACGAACCGAGTAAATCAAACATTACCAAAGATGGGCATCATTCACATAGCTCATCGAATATAAAAATGCAGAAAAATGGGAACAATACCTGGTAAGTGTACAGCTTCACATAAATCAGAGGCATTCTCTGGTTCAACTTATTATAGTGTTTGATCACACGATGAACAGTTTCGGGGACATACTCAAGCACCAGATTGAGATATAGTTCATCCTTTTCTGTTGTTGAGAAGAAGCAGTGCTTCAAAGAAACAACATTTGGATGGTCAAGAAGACGCATTGTCTGCAACTCGCGGTTCTTATACCTCTTATCCTGAAGAACCTTCTTTATTGCAACTGTTTCACCAGTCTCCAGACATTTTGCCTGGGTAAGCAATAAAATGTTGAGAAATACTGATATTTGACCATCAGTAACCAATAATATGCAGAAGTAGTATCCAGTATGCATTTCTTTTCCAACGTGAAAAACAATACAAGATAATACCTGGAATACTACTCCAAATGATCCTTGCCCGACAATGCGTTCAGCCATGTAGCTAATTGTCTAAAAATCCAAAAATTAAAAAAAAAAAAAAAAAAAAAATATGATTCTTGATAAACAAAATTCCATCACAAAATCATATAAAAACCAAGCCACACCACATGCAAATAACATAATGTACAACGCTCATGCTTCACATAGAACACATCTATTATCATTAATCACTTTCACGCAACAAGTATCGGGATTGAAATATACACTATTCTATTCTGCTGGAGCATTTTGTGAATGCAATTTCAAAAAAATACAAGTTTGTTACACAAATTTTTCACTTGGCTATTTGACAATCCCAACAACCTGGATCCCCATGTAAAAGGACCAACAGCTTCTGATTAAGCTTATGATCATGAGAGTCCTCACTAAACAAAAACATTATAATTCAACAAAACAAACTGGAAAATCATCTGCCCCCGTACCATTTCCTTTTCCCTATGACTTTTTCCTATTACTGAATGGACCAGGTGGATGGCTCATGTCACATAGAGGGGTTTCATTGTACCACGAAAATCTCAGTAGAATTATATGACACAAGGAAAGGTCAGGCATCAGCGCGCGCGCGCGCGCGAGAGAGAGAGAGAGAGAGAGAGAGATGCACAGACCTGCTTTGGCTGGCCATTTCGGCCGCCAATGGTTGTTACAATTATGTGGCCTGTCTCAGTCCCGTTGCCATCCACTACTGTTGCTTCTATTTCCTGTAAAAAATATTTATTCATCAATGTCTTAGAGTTAGGCACACTGAAGATTAGAATACTTGCAAGGAATAAAGCTATAGAGTACATATTTCTGGAGCAAGAGTCTACCTTGTCATCTCGGATTTTCATGTCATTCATCTCCTCGGGCAACCTATCCACCCCCACAGCACGAGTACCTGACTCCCTTAAGCCAGATGCAGGTGCCATACCCACTGAAGCCATAAACACACTAGTCGATGTTATAACCCTCAAAACTCATTCACCTGTAGAGACAAAAATAGTTTCCTCAACAAAAAGATCTATATTTATATTCACAATATCTAGTAGCGTTGGAAAGATGACATATCATTTATATAAAGAAAGTGCAAAACACAATTACATCATGATGGAAAAAGTTTAAAATTTCAAAATTCACACGTGATGCCAGAAATGAAATGCCGAAGAACCAGTCAAATCCTATACAGTGTGTATAATACTAATTTCTAGTACAACTTACACAAACAAAAATAATGATAAAAATATCAAACATTATTACTGAACATCTAATAATTTACAGTAAGGTTGAATGTAAAGATCGGTCATTTTTATAAAGCAAGTGTATTGCACAAAATCTCAGCGGCGGCGGACAAGGACAACGTTAAAAAATTACAATAATATACAGAAGTTCGAATTCATAAGAAGCTAAAGTATGGTTGAAAATATAATGTGTGCAATCACATTGACAAAATCTTACGGAAAAGAGAATAAATCAATATCCTTCTCTGGTGCTAACTAATCCTTTAAACTTAATTATAGTTGACCTCATTCTTCAGGATGAAAACGCAAGTACTGGCTGTTCGTGTCATTTAATTTATTTTAAGCATTAAAGACAAAGAGATCATTTCACGCATATGTGATCGGGCATCACAAAAATCTAGACCTAAAAGTCCTAAAAATTTAGAAAACAATGTATAGAGATTATTGCAGTAATATGACAGAAAAGAACGCACAATTTACAATCTACGCTGGATCGTAGAAATCAAATCACTAGAATCAAAAGCAGAAGCACTGGTTCAATTTAATCAAATTACTACAAAAGAAGAAGGTTACTGTTGTGAGTTGTAACCATATATTTAGTGAGAAATGAACAAATAACACATATTATGTGCATAAATACAACAAGATTTTCATCTCAATTAAGGTTGTAAACGAGCCGAGCCTCGTTAAATAAACGAGCCAGAAATTGAGCTCGAGCTCATCTCGTTAAGGCGCCGATCTCGAGCCTTAACGAGCCGAACTATAGAAAATTATATAAAAAATCATTTTTCGAGTCTTAACGAGCCTTATCGAGCCGAGCTTAAACGAGCTCGAGCCGAACTCGAGCCGAGCCGAGCCAAGCTCGTTTAGTTTAAGAGCACTAATCTCAATCAATTTCAAAAAGAAGTCAACCGAAAATGAAACAATTGTTAATCAATAAAATAAGGATAATAATGAAATAAAATAGTAAAGAAGTGTCCTTGACGGTTGTGCAATGATATTTATAGAAAGAAGCAGTAACATGACTTTTGCCTTTTGCCAGTGAAATATTTCATCAAAGTTTCATATTTGCTAGTTAGAATCCCTTTTAGAATGTTGTCAGCAGTCCAACTCCAACTGGTTGTTCTCAGTAAGTGAAAATCTTGACATAACTGTACATAGTAGCGCAAGTCATCGACTACCACACCTATAAATTTACATTTAATTAAGCTAGCAAACTGAGGATCAAGATGCAGATGCAGACTTGGCAGAGTCGAACAATTGAAATAATCAAGCAGGTGTCCATTAAACCATAACGTAATTAAGGAACTTCAGAAGTCGAACATGAGTCTTGATCATACAGAATTTAACTGGTGAACTACATTTATAAACCTAGAAGCAATGAGAGATCATCCATAAAGCATTATCAAATACACTGATACTTGATTTTCCACTAAAAGTTTCTTCCGACTAGGTTAGGCATCCAGTGGTGAACTATTAGAATAGTTCCGAATTAAATTTTGGCCCATACCACGGACAACACAGCTGTACGTTTTAATTTCTTTGCAAGGAATTAAAATCTCAAAATCAAAAGTCATTCTGAGGGACTTGACTTCATGAAATGCAAGTTCTATGCCAGACACATGAATTTAAAATGTAAGCATTCAAGTGATTATATTCTAAGACATAATATGATCAATGACGTCACAACCTTGGTAAAGGTTGTTATATGAGTGCACCTGTACTTGTTCTTTAACACTAATTCAAGTATAGACTTTCCAATGATGAACAATCTGATCAAGCTAGTAGAGCATCTAATTAACAGACTAAAAACACAAAGCACACCTAACATAGTAAAGTATGTTCCCCAATGCATCAATACAAGAACTCATATGTCAATTGGATAGCACTCCAATCTGAGTCTCAAATAAATTCACTGCACTCAGTACTTATGTTACCCGGACTCGGGTACAAGTGTCGGATACGGGTACATATCCAAGTATCCGGTATTTGAATTTCTAAAAGTTAAGATACGGGGACACGTACCCAAACTTGGACACGGGTACGTGAATACGGCAGTCAGTGTAATAAAAATAAAAAATTAATTTATTTTACAATATTAATAGGAAAAAAAGTATATACATCATTACAAATTTATATTCATAATAATTAAATACAAATATACTACTAATGCAACATTAAAATATTTGCATTAAAATAAAAAAGAAAGTAACAAATTAGTAAGGTCTAGCTATTAAGTAACAAAACGGGCCTAATAAACTAAATAAAAACAGCCCAACTCTAAGTAAGTAATATAAAATATATTGGCCCAAACAATGTGGTCCCATACCACACATAACCAGTGGCGGAGCCACCAGTATGGCGAGGCATGGCGGCCGCCATACCTGGCCGCCGGCGAACACTCCCCCACCCCCCCAGTGTCACCGCCAAATTTGAAGGGCCGATTGTCTACCGGTCTACCCCACCGATATCCGCCATGGGTGCCTATTGTCGGAAGCTCTAAGTAGCTGCGTTGAGAAATGAGAAGGAAAAATTTAGAGAATTTGAGGAAGGAAGAAAAAGGAAGGATTTGGGAATTGGGGATTTCTGTAGAGGAAGGAAAATGACGGGAATGAAAGAGGAGAGAGGGAGAAGAAAAAGAAAAAGGGAAAAAGAAAAAAGGAAAAAAGAAATAAAGTAGGATGAGTTGGGCTTTAATGAATTGATTGGGCCTTTGAGATTGATTTTGGCCTGAACACAAGTACCCAAAAAAAGGCTACAAAAGCTTTTCACAATTTTAGACATTACTCGAAATGTCATTGACTTTCCACATTTTCCACTTTCTGTATTTTAAAACTTAATTATGAACATTGTTAATGACCAGTAAATTTGAAGGGCCCCCAACCGAAGTCACCGCCAAATTTGAAGGGCCGATTGTCTACCCCCAACCGAACGCCAAGCCGAAGTCACCGAACCCTTCAGCTTCACCTACGCTCTCACCTTTCACTCTCAGAGTCGTCGGACGCGCCATATGCATATTCGATCGGTACTAGGGCCCCATCTTGAAGTTTAGCACTGGGCCCCCAATTTGACCGGGACGCCCCCCCAGTTCTTGCTGTTCGCGGTTCTTGCCAGTTCGCGTTTATCTGTTCGCCATGGCGGCCGTCGTCCTTCGATACTGGAGGAGGAAGACAAAGAGAGACAGTCAGACAGGTAACGTTTCGCGTGGGGTTGGGCTGGGCTGCAGTCTGGGATATGTTGTCCTCTTGGGCTTGGGCCTTTGCCACTGTGTGCCTTGTGAAGCCCAATCGGCAAAATATCATATGCAAGGCAGGCAGGCAGCCGAACAGACGAGATGTCGCGATCGATCTGAATTCTCTCGACTCCCTTTCTCTTGAACCGCTCTCGCAGTCGCCGACGCCGACGCCCACCGGCAGTACTACTCCATCCGCTCGCCGCCATACGTAAATTTTTATCCTGGCTCCGCCACTGCACATAACCCAAAAACCCACCTTATCCATTCCCGATTTTAAGAAAACCCTAACCACTCAATACTCATCTCCTCCGACGGTGATCCCCGATTCAGAGCTACCACCATGCCATAGGCCCTCTTCCTCAGATCCAACCACCAAACCGGTACTTCCTCACCCTTAACCATCTTTTTTCCCTTCTTTCCCACATAGTTCATGACATCTTCACCCGCCCCGACACCCGTCGATAGTCAACGTGTCCGGCCACTTTTGACCGGATCGGAGCCGAATTTCGTACCAGTACCAGTGTCATGTCGTGTCGACACGGGTACTCCGGCGTTAGGTGCCGAGTCCGGGTAACATAGTCAGTACTGCTTCAGCACAACCTTGACCTTGATGTCAGTAATGTTCATAAGTTAAGCCACTTGTGGCACAAGAAGTAAAATGGCCTATTAGAAAATTACACATTCCCCACTCAGTTTTGAAATTCAGACATTTCAGTCAACTATATTATTAAAGTCTTCTTGCACCTGGCTCATCGCTCGTCCTCCACATCAACCTATCAGATTTGATTTATTTCTTTGGAAGTCCTTGTGGCACAATGTTGGCATAAAACTGAATACCTATGACAATATACCAATGTCTGAAATAGATGTATCTATACAACTAAGATTCTGAAAATATTTGTTTCCACGTTGAACTTGGAACATTAAGAAGATGTTATCTCATGGGAGGATTTATTGACACGTTTGTGCACTTATGTGACTGCTGATAATGCAATAGCTTCTGTAACAGAATATGACATGATTTGGTTTCTAAAAAGGTAATGAATTTATTCTTTTCCAATTGTCCATCCCATGCTATGAGACTAAATTGACACGCCAACTCCATGTATTCACAATAATAACCAAAACTCTAGTATTGTATACTTTCTATTAGAAAAGGAAAGAACTGGAAAAAGAATAATGCATCCTATCTAATTTCTCTAAGCTTTGTACGGTCATGAGTAGCACTACATCTGACTTTTAGAACACTGTTCTTAGTTCTCAATAACCCTTGATCCAGACATTAACTAGATTCCAGGGGAAAATACTGCAACAAAATCGCGAGCATTCAAGTCGTTTGTCATCCAGTGATCTGTTATCCAATGACGCTTCGCCCAGATGAAGTGATTGACTACAGCAGAAACCAATTTAAGGCTCCGACACCTTCAACAACAAAAACACAAGCAAACAAGTCTTCTGCTATCTAATGGTGATGTCGCCAAAATGAAGAGATTGACTACCACAGCACCCAATTTAAGGTTCCAAGACCTATAATACAAGTAAAGTATTTTATCTCAAGGGAAGGAAGTGCAAGTCAAGCCCTTTCAAGACAAGTAAACAACAATCACATGAAGCATTGACATCAACTGGAAAAATCTGACAAACCTTCGAGCCTTTTTTGATAACCTTATTTCCCTTAAATCCGTAAATTATGTAACTTAGAAATAATCATGACTCACTCTTGAAGAATGTTAAAAAAGAATAATCATGTAACGGATTGCTATCAAGCTCAACCACTAATCCATCAAAAATCGAAACTTCTATACATATATAAATACCTATAAGTATATATTTATCGCCTTCTCACACCAATGGCTTCCTCAGAGAAATTTATAAGAAAACTCCATCGACCCAGCATTCCATCAATAGGTTTCTCCATACAAAAGCTACATGCAACAAACTTAACAACTATATCAAGCATGATAAATCCATTTTCCATGAAAAATAGCAAAACCTAAAAAAAAAAAAA